CCCCAAAACCCCAAAACCCCAAAACCCCATGATGATGAATTTTTATTAATACAAAAAATCAGTCCTAAAATGAATTAATTACTTTATTTTCAAGATCTCTCTTTAATTTCAGGATAATTTTGTCTTTGGTTTGCTCCAAAATTTTACATCTGTCTTTAACTTGCTCTATTTCCACCTATAATGCCTGTTTCTCTTCCATAAGGTTAAATACTTAGAAATCCTTTATCTCTACATCTTTACTGAGAGATTCAATATTCTCTTATAACTATTGATTTTCAAATTCCAAATTATTTATTTTGCTCTACAACCTTGATATTTACCCATTTTTATCATCAAGATCTCTTTACTTTAAATCTTGCAATCTTTTTATTTAAACTAATTCTCTATTAAGTTTTTAAATTGACTCTCTATACTCATATGATTTGTCAATTTCATTCTAGCTTGCTTTGTTGTCTTTTAATTATTTTGTGAGATCTTAAATAATTTTCATTAACTGCATTTTCTAGTTTTTTATTGTTGAACTTTCAAGCTGATGTTAATTAAGCAATTTATCTCTAATTAAATTTATGAAGTTTTATGTATCTTGGATGCTTGATATTTTAGAGTTAAACTAGGCCATAATATCTTCAAATCTTTGTATCAAATTCCTAAGATTGTCTTTGTCTTTTATTAGCTATTGGACAATTGTATTCATTTCTCTATCTGATTAGGACAACTATAACTTTATTTGAATAATTTATTCCTCAATCGATCTAATTGAGCTATAGCATGATTACTTAAACTTATCAAAATCTTTAGGTAATAAATCTGAGAAAGACTAAATTTTTTCAGAATCTTCAATTATTGGAATTTTAATTACAGGCGCTGCTGATTTTATCAACTATGTACTAGAATTGCTGTTGTATTCATTTTTAAATTGAGATCTTTCAGGATTGCCTATATAGCTCATGCATCTTTAATGAACTTTAAAAATGTGCTTAAGCATTTCGTTGTCTTTCATTCTATTCGCTTGAATTTAAATAGTTGGCTCATTGAAAAACATCATTTATCTTTCCAAATTCGGAATACTCATCTAATTTTCAATGATACTTTATCCTGATTACCTCTTTGAAGGTGTAGGAGAGACAGATCATTAATTAGATGCCCTCTGTTAATATTAATTGTGCCCTTAATATTGCTATGAATATTTTATCTCTTAATTTGCAGAATTTCTAATAGGAGATTTTGAACCTTAAAATTATTTCATGTTTGATGACTTAAAGGTTTATTTTTAATTATAATTTTTATTCGTTATTATATAATTCTCAATGAAGTCTGGAAATATTCACAATTCCTAAAATTATACTCAAATGCTGATCTAAGCACAAGAATAAAAGCATCTTGCTCAAAGATTAATCAACCTCAAATCAACTGTAGATAATAGAGAACCGAAGAAATTCTAGCATTTAGCAAGTGTTTAATCTAATGAAGGCAGTTTAGCTACAATAAAAAAGAAATAATTTAATAGTATGGTGAGATAGAAATAGATTGATCAAGAAAACTCATTGCTACTTAAGAAAATGCTTGAAATAATCTAAAGGAAAAACTAATCATTTAGAGACGGAGATCCTTAGCTTGCTTTAATTTAAATGACGCAATAGTAATAATAATAGAATACAAAGGATGATTAATCAATTGATGATAGCAAGGGCTCAGGTGAAATAATGATTACATCAGAAAGGAAAAAATTATAGAATTCACAACTTTAAAATGAGGTTAGCAATATGTAAAATTAAACATTCTTCAACGGATCATTGAATTATCATCATAGGAAATAGGAGTATGAGTAAATTCAAAAGTCAAATAAAGTAAGCGTAGAATCTAAATAATAATTTTTATAGGTAATGTTGAAGCATTTAAAAGAAATAAAGCCAAGCATAAAAAGAGGTGATTGGCAGGATCACATAAAAAAATATGAACACTTGAAAAATTAGTTATAAAATAACAAAACCAGGCATATTTCTCCATCGTAAAATAATAATAACTCTGTTCTACTCCCAATTTTGAGTTAGTCAAAATCAATTAAGGGCGATGCAAGGGAAATTCTACAAGAGAGATCCTTTCTTTAATCTTCAAGTACTTCTTAAAGATTTAACCTAAAAAAGGATGATTCAAATAAACAAGAACTAAATAATCAAACTAATGCTGATAATATTACAAACTAGAGAATGGACTAATATTAATCACAATCTTTTAAGATTGATGAAAATCATACTACTTAGGATACTCAATCAGTCACATTTAAGTTAAATAAAAGTGCTTTTGGAACTGAAAGCAATTAATTTACAGTTAATTAAACTAGTTAGTTTGCTAATTAATTAAATACTAAAAATGCTTAAAGTGCTAACCGAATATAGTCAAGAGTAATGAAAAGATGAGAAATTAATGCTGAAACATCTGATAAAAGTCTATCTTAGCTTGAGAAGTCTGCCCATCAAAGTAAGGTAAACGATTATTCAAATAAAAGAGATTCGATGACTCGATCAGTTCCTCGCCCAAGAGGATATTTTGACAATATTTTAAAATCTCCACTCCTAAATTTTGCAAACTACCCTGAATCAATTGTAAGAAGAATTTCTAGTAGAGGAGGCAATTAGCATCGAGATAAGTTAATAAAAAGAGGAATAATGAATAATAATCTATTTGTTAATTAGAAAAATTTAAATAATAGCTAAGAAAGTATTAAAGATAACTCAGACATAAGCAAACTGATTCATCAATAAGCTCAAAGTTACTCTTAGGATCTTTATGAAAACTCATAAAAAATAAACACTTAAATAGACAATATTAAAACAAAGAGTGATAACCCTTCTGCTTATTAGTCGAATCATTAGATCTAGTCGTGCAACGAAAGTCATTATGTATCATTTAACAGTAAATTATAGAATAGTAGTAAACTTGAGAATATTTAAGTTTATAATCAGTCGTCTAATTTCATCAGTAATGCAATTATCCAAATTTAAGATAATGAACAGCAATCATAATAGAATAAAAAAGCGAAAGTTGACAATCAGAATGAAGAAATTGAGGATGATTACACTGAAATTGATGATGAATCCATTCATTCTGAGAAATGAAAAATATAACTTTAAAATTCCTGAACCTTTAATTTTCCTAAAATTGTGTCAGAAGTATGCTCAAATTGATGTTTGAGTGTTTAGATAAGATGATTTGAATAGATTTAGCGATCTAAATAATCTGTTATTATAATTCTTATAAAAATATACTTAATTAGTAATATATTTAAGAGATCAGTACAATAAAAATGGGAAATTGTTTTAGTAATTCCAGACCAGAAGATGACCTCCGTTCCCATAATGGTATAGGCCCTGTTAAAGAACAGCAAAAGAAAAATCATAAAAATCCATTCAAGCAAAACCAAAGTATGATAAATGCAATATTTCCATTCTAATTTTGCTATAATAGCACCTCAATATGTGATAGAGAGTAGGGTTTCATTAGGATAGGCAGCGAAGGAAAATACTTAGTAAATTCTAGAAAGCAAATAAGTAAATCAATCTCCAATTGGCAAAAGTGATTATCTTGAACAGTTTAATCAAGGCAAGTTTACATTTGAGCCGAATGGAAAGCAGCCTATACATTAAGTTGTCGGAAATGATATCTCTGATAATGGAGTATCATTTGGAGGAGCAAATAGACTATAGGAGAATCACTTAAGTTTTAATTAAGTCGATGGTTTATCAAAATTTTAAAAGAGTTTCTATAATCAAGGACGAGATAGTACAATCAAAGAATAGCCATCGGAGGAAGAACTTCAGTGAGGAATATAAAAAGACAAATATATCATCAAATTAATAGAGTAAAGTTATACAAAAGTGTAGATATAAGTTTAATTGCACAATTTATCATTAATTGAATAAACATTTATTTCATCTCCTATAGTACTAATGTAACCTCTTGGGGTTTTGGGGTTTTGGGGTTTTGGGGTTTTGGGG